AACCAGCGAACCAGCGAATCAGCGAACGAACGAACGAATGAACGAAGGAAAGCAAGAAGCCTTTGCTTTTCAGCATTGCTTGCCTTTGCCTGTGCACTGTTGGGGGATTTGGGCGATGTCGATGTCGATGCGGATGCGATGCTGGTGAGATGGGCACCGGCGCTGGTGCTGGTGCTGGTGCTCATGTTGATGTTGATGTTGCTGCAATTGCTATGGTTGTGGCTGTGGCTGTGGCTTGGCTAATGTAAATCGCTTTGTTGTGCTTCTCAACACCAACGCATTCGGTTGCTCTGTATTCGTGCACATTGCACAATATTTCGCACGCTGGTTTACATGCAGTAAAATTGAATTAATGGAGTTTGGCCCTATGTCAGTGTAGGGACTATTTTTAACGAAGTATATTTTTAGAGATTTCTGTTCTTTTTTTTCTTTAATTATTTTTATTTGATTTGCCTTTAACAGCAGGTATGGAAACGTTGTTCGGATTTGGATTTAGCATTAGACGTCTTTAAATAAACTAATTTTCAAATGGCGTCTAATTTTAAGTGAATTTGTTAAGTAAGGGACGGCTGGTTGTAGGCAGCGCTATATCTGGAAAAAAAACTATAGGCCACAATTAACCTTTGTAATCACTGATGAACTGCCACACAAATGGTAAATGGGTGTGCTTGAAAATGTAGTAGGAAAAGCGGTTTTGAAGTGCAAACATCTAAAGCCACACAAAACCAATTACAGTTGGAAGTGGAGGTCTTCCTCTTCATCGGCTTTCATCGGCGGTTGGTACTGCCTCGGAAACTTTCAAAATATTCGTATCCATCCGTACCACTGAACTGCTGAACTATTGGGTTGCCCAAAAAGTAATTGCGGATTTTTTAAAAGAAAGTAAATGCATTTTTAATAAAAACTTAGAATGAACTTTAATCAAATATATAATTGCCATTTTGTTCGATAACCTTTTGCCATCTTCCTGGCAAATTTAGTATTCCACGCTCATAGAACTTCTGGCCTTTATCTGCAAAAAACTGAACCAAGTGCCGAAAGTTTTACCATTTAAGGAGTTCTGCAAAGATCGAAATAAATGGTAGTCTGATCGTGCAAGGTCAGGGCTATATGGTGGATGCATCAAAAGTTCCAAGCCAAGCTCACTCAGTTTTTGGCGAGTGACCAAAGATGTGTGCGGTCTAGCGTTGTCCTGGTGGAATATGGCACCTCTGCGATTGACCAATTCTGGTCGCTTCTCCTTGATGGCTGTATTCAATTTGTCCAATTGTTGACAGTAAACATCCGAATTAATCGTTTGGTTCCTTGGAAGCAGCTCAAAATATACGACACCCTTCCAATCCCACCAAACAGACAGCATAACCTTCTTTTGGTGGATATCAGCCTTTGAAGTGGTTTGAGCTGGTTCACCATGCTTGGACCATGATCGTTTTCGACTAACGTTGTTGTAAACAATCCATTTTTCATCTCCAGTTATGATTCGTTTTAAAAACGGATCGAATTCATTGCGTTTAAGGTGCATATCACAAGCGTTGATTCGGTGTGTTAAATGAATTTCTTTCAATACATGTGGTACCCAAATATCAAGCTTTTTCACCAGTCCAAGACTTTTTATGTGATAATGAACGGTTGATTTTGGTATATTTAACTTCTCTCCTATCTCACGCTCAGTTACATGACGATCCAATTCGATTAATGCTTTGATTTGGTCATCATCAACTTCATTTGGCCGACCTGAACGTGGCTCATCTTTAAGTGAAAAATCTCCAGAACGGAATTTGCGAAACCAATTTTGACACTGTCTTCCTTTTAAGGCTTCATCACCATACACATCTCGTAACTTTTTAGCAACCTGCTCCGCGTTTTTTCCTTTACGGAAATAATAAAGTAAAATATGACGAAAATGCTCCTTTGTGGGCTCCATATTAAAATTGACGCCAAACAAACAAATGTAAACAAAATTTCGCGCACTTTTTTTCTAAAGCAAGCTAAAAGTAACAGCTGATAACTGACAGAAGAAAGAATGCAATTACAGAGTCACAAGCCGTTGAAAAAATTTGTCAACGCCGACTATATGAAAAATCGGCAATTACTTTTTGAGCAACCCAATACATATGTCTATGTCGCCGTATATCCCGCACAGCTCATTGTTCCATCGGCCGCGATATTTGCCCTTTTCCAATTCGTAGATAACCATAAATCTTAAGCAAAAAATTTCTCTCGGAAACTCCAAACGCCGAATCATCAGATGTTGTGTTGAGCGACGTGTAGATTTAGGTCTTTGTTCGTCGAGAGAGGACTTGACTTCTCAATTGCCTACTCAGTACAAAGTAGCAACTGTTGCCAAGAGCGATACTGCATTGGATTTTAAGGCTGACATTGCTGCCAGTGTTAATGTTGATTCCAAGATATGCGAAATTATCTACGACTTCAAAGCTATGACTACCAACAGTGACGTAGAAGGCAAGTCGTAAATGCTCCGACTGTTTGTTTGATGACAGGAGATATTTCGTCTTCTACTCGTTCACTACGAGATCCTAACGCTCCGCTGCCATATCCAGTATGTAGAAAACAGAGCTAACGGCGCAGTTGTTGAGGCCATATTATCAATATTGTACCTTCTATATTCAAATCTGCAGCTCGTATTATTTTCCCCAGCACCATAATAGGGAAGTTACACGATAAGAAACCAACTTGACTGAAACCTCGTTAGGTTATCGAGCAGCTCGGAGAGGTCCTACAAAATTCTGACGCAGCTTTTAATGCTGCAGGTTGGGATAGATAACGAGAATCGAAGTGGGAAATAAGACGACGCAAGTGCAGACACAAAAAGAGTCCAAGCTGCGTTAGTTTGAAGTGCTTGAGAAGCTGGACGGCGAGTGTAATGCTCGAAAATTCTATTTAAAGATACAGCGGCTTACAGAAGGTTGTAAGAAAGCAGCAAATTTTTGTAGCACCAGAAACTTGATCTGGTTACTGATGTCCAGAGTATACTGAATTTATGGAGGGAACACTTGCAGTGAAAGTGAAACACCATAAGTTGGCGAGCCCGATTTCCCCATTCGATGATGATGAAGCAGATGTTTCATTACCCAATTCTGAAGAAGTTCGAATAGCAATCGACCGCTTGAAAAACAACGGAGGCTGATGTATTTCTTGCCGTACAATTCAGATATTGCGGTTAAGAACTGTTAAGATACATGGCTCTGCTTCTCTGCAAAATATGTACGGATGAAAGCATGCCCGACGATTGAAATTTTAAATGTGTTCTGTCCGATCTACAAAAAAGAGGATCCCGAAGTCTGCGCCAATTACCATGGTAGTCCAATATCTTAATAAATTTCTATTCAGCGTATTGTGGGAAAGATTAATGCTCACCACCAACAGCAAATGATTGGACGTTATCAAGGATGAGGACTACCTTAATAAATAATAAAAGGTCCTTAAAGTCATTATTGATATTAGGCCAATTAATATACAAGTTATATATGAAGCAGTGCTAACAGCTAGACGCCTAAATGTTGTGGAAAATCAAGTGCAGTCCAACTCAACCAAGAAACGGAAACCTTCTGCTAGGAAAATCTCACTTGCCGCCATTCTTCGTAGAAAAGAATGGGCCAAGGTGGCTCCAAACTCAATGATTACGACTCTATCTTCCAAGCAGAGATTGTGGGCTTTACACAAGTTGTCAAATTGGCAACTGCTTAGACAGTCAAGCGGCAATTAAGTGAGTCAACAGTGTGTAAGAACATGCAAGGAGGCAATTAAAAGACTACCGGGTCAAACGGAAATAGAAGGCAGTACAAAGGCGGATCAGCTGGGTCGCGCTGTTACCAAAGACTGATTCAGACCTTTCAGCGCCTTCAAAGGTTGTCTAAAGCAGTAGACCATAAAGGAACACCAAATTACGGCGGGGCAATGTGGATTGTAGACAGAACAAACTTACAAACTTTTACGAGAACTTAGTACTCTTGTAGTTAGATTTATTGACTGGGCGATAGATGATAGATGTCCTCAGACAATCTCCACAAGATCAAGTAGAATCGGCTGAATGCAAAGATAAGGAAATGTGGAGCCCAACTTTTGCCAATGTCCGGCCATTAACCGTTTGAGCCAAGCATCTTTCACGGCGTTCCCAAATCCAACCTTACAGAGGTCGGCACACATGGTTGGAAAAAGGTGCTTGCGCGCTTGCGTTCTAGTTCTCAATCTCCACTTTCAACCAGTTCAATTAGTGTTACGTGTCGTATCATGTCATACTATACGGCACTGAAAACGTGTTTATTCGCGCTAAAAGTTTGTCTTTGACAGTTTTTCGATTGATTGACCCAGTACGTTGTAAGCGCTCGTCAAAAATGGGCACTAGCAAAGCGAAAATTCGCTTCCAAACGCTCAATTCGGCCCTCTACTGTCAACAAAAGGATCGCTTGAAGGCAGCACTCATCCAGAAGAGGCCATCTCTGATCAACAGAAGCCGAATTGTGTTCCACTAGGACAACGCCTGGCCACTCACGTCTCTGGTCATGCGCCAGAAGCTCTAGGTGCTCGGCAGGGACCTGGTACCAAGTGATTACCATCTTTTCCTGTCCATGGCGAATGCGCTTAATGCTGAGAAGTTGGCCTCAAGAGAGGCCTGTGAAAACGGGCTCTCCGAGTTTTTTGCCAATAGGGAAGCAGCCTTCTACGAGAGGGGTATAATGAACAGAGCGGTTTGACTTAAATCGGACAAATGTACACAAAGTTATCATATTTTGAAAAAAAAAAGACAAAAAAAAAACAACAATAAAAAAACCGAACGAACCTTTTACTTGAGCAATAATTAAATTACATTAATTTACTAACAATTGAATTAATATTTTTTTTTTGTTATTGTTTTTTTCATAATAATGTTTCTTTATGTAATGTAAATTTCATTAGAATTATTTATATATTTTCACATAAATTTCTATATAATTAGTGTATATATGTACATATGTATGTGGGCACAATAAAATACACACCTCCAATATCTGTTGATCTAAATCGGTTGCGTTTGGTTGCATTGGTTTGTATTCAAGTGAAATTGTTCCCGATGTTATATGTAAATGTTCATCATTTCCGGCTTCGCGCGCAATATCTGCAAAATAAAAAATTAAAAAAAAAAATCAGAGGAAAATAATAACAAAAGTACAATAAAACCATCGACATATATATATATATATATATATATATATATATAGAGAGAGAGAGAGAGAAAAAAAGAGAAAGAGAGAGCGCGTGAAATGTGAATCATATTTTTAACAACAACAATAAATCTATAAATGTTTATGATTTACAGTATAAACATACTAATGAATGAATGAATTTATATACGAGTATATAATATATATATATATATGTACGTACATATTATATTTACATACATGTATGTACCGCTTTAATAAAGTGTACTGTTCATACATACGTACATATGTATATACATATGTTAAAATATTAAGTATTTTTTGACAACTGAAAACTATAATAAGGCTAATAGCAAGCAAATTATAGACATATACATACATACATGTAAACATATAAAAGTAATGGGTGTTTCACAAAGAAGAAAAAGAAATATTTTTTTAAGATTTATACTCTGGAAATCATTACTACGATTTTATGTTTTTTATTGATGTTAGATATAATAAAAAAATGAAAAATTAAAAAAAAAAATTAAAAAAAAATAAAAAAAAAATTTAAAAAAAATAAAAAAAAAAATTAAAAAAAAATTTAAAAAAAATTAAAAAATAAATTAAAAAAAATTTTTAAGAAAATTTACATTTTTTTGTCAAAAATAAATAAAATATAAAAAAAGTAATAATAATAATTAATTGATAACGCACACAACACAACTGATAAACTCAATGCATAGATAAAAACACTAGTTGTTAACTAGAATCCAACTAGTTCATAAATTTCGCCCAACTGGTTCTCATCTTCCATCTATTTTCCGTATAAACAACTGGTATTTTTTTTAATTTTGGTTCTTCGAACTGTCAATTGTCAGTCTATGCATCGATTTCATACTAGTTAAATACCAGTTCATATATACCAGTCAAATACCGGTTCATTCAAAGCAGTTCAGAACTAGTGCGCCTCAGACAAATTCGCATGATGTTAGTCAAAAACCAAATCAAAAGATTCCGGCATTCTAAACAGTTAAACCAATTTTCATGAATTTCTTGTGTGTGTTCAGGTAGATGTGAGCATGGTTTTGAAAAAAATCTTTAGCAGAAAGAATATTAGGGCCCAACTTATTTGAAAATCGCACATATGGTTCACTTTACTTGAAATTTGCTATATTTTTTCTTTCCAAAACGAAGTGGATCAGTTATCGATCTATGTATTTGAAGCTGCATCATTCTTTATGCTGTTGTCTAAAAATGTGCTTAGAGCTTCTAAAGGGTGATTTTTTTTAGCTAGTTTCTGGTTTTGTATCACTGCCAAACATCTTCAGTTTGGTCTATAATTTAACCATGAATCGTCTTACAAACGAACAACGCTTGCAAATTATTGAATTTTATTATGAAAATTCGCGTTCTGTTAAGAAAGTCCATAGCGCGCTTCTTCCGCGCGCGTTTCGAAGCTCATTTTTGGCTTAATGTGTGCGTAAATAAGCAGAATTATCGATTTTGGAGTCAAGCATTGCAAGAGCTACCAAAACATCCAGAAAAAGTCACAATTTGGTGCGGCATCATTGGACCGTACTTCTTCAAAAATGATGCGGATCGTAACGTAACTGTGAATGGTGAGCGCTACCGTGAGATGATATGATACCAATCGTTTTTTTTTTGCCGAAAATGTAAGAGCTTGACTTGCATGGCATGTGGTTTCAACAAGACGGTGCGGTGCCACATGCCACACAGCGCGCATGAAAATGGAGTTATTGAGCGGCGAGATCGGTGTACATTTTTTTTCACGTTCGGGACCGGTCCCGTTGACCGCCTTGATAGTGTGATTTAACGCTTTTAGATTATTTTTTGTGGAGCTATGTTAAGTCTAATATCCATACAGACAAGCCCGCTTCAATTGAAGTAATGGAAGACAAGATTGAAGCATTTATACGTGAGATATCGGCCGAAATGTTGGAAAGAGTAGCCCAAAATTGAATTAAGCGGATGAACCATTTGGGGCGCAGTCACGGTCGACATGTGCATGAAATAATCTTCCAATATTAAATTATATGGAGCGTGCCATCGATTCATATAAAGATTTCATGCATTTTTCTGAATTTTATGTGTTTTTTTTTTTAAATTTCCTATGGCTCTTAAAAAATTCCCTCTTAGTTACTTATATGTCCAGGTTTTTTTTTTTTTTTTCAAACAACCAACTGGTATGAATTTGTCCGCCAAATACTAGTTCACATACTAGAATTTTTGCAAACTAGTCCAGATATGACCGAAAAACACCAGTTTAAATTCTAGTCTATGACAAACTAGTATATGATGTTTGTCCTTTGAATATTAGTATGATTCTGGTTTGCAACAAAATAATAATATTTAACAAGCATTTTTCCATACTAGTCTAACTTTTCCCTGCAGGCTCTTTATTTTTATTAGCGATTGTAGAAATTGACACAATTCAACTTTTTTCATGACAACGTTCTTTATTTTTTTTTGCTTATTAATAAAAATTAAATTTTTTCGAGTTCTCTTGAGTGGTCTCTGAGATATAACGAAATTTGATCGTTGCCCCAACCAATCCAAAATTTTTTTCCATCTCTCATATTTTTCTGTTTATGGCTCTAATTGAACATTTAGCTAGTGGATGAAAGCGATTTGTAAATTTACCGTTATATGATACGCCCGTATACATATACTATAATATATAATTGTTCAAACAGTAGCCATAATAAAATAAATAACGTAAAAATCCAATAAAAAAATAAAATGGTATACAATGTATGTATAAATATTTACTATATATACTTATATATATAAAACAATAAAAAAAAGTCCCAATTCGAAGCTTAAGTTTCGGTGAAAAATTAATTTTTTCAAGATTAAAAAGTCGTTAAGTCGCTATGTCGAAGCCCCCTTTTTTATCATGTTCCAATGCAATTATATATGTATTATATATTTTACGTATACATATAATACATATAGATATTTATGTATTGTATATGTCAGCAATTTTCTCAGAATTTCGTTGAACAAACTGCGTATTTACCACCCACGACGACTTTAAACAATGTGGTGGGGGGGAATTTTTCATTCAATATGTGCATATGTATACAGATGACTGTTTGTGCGTATATACATAATTCGATAAAGATACATTAACATAAAATGAAATTCTGAAATTTATGCCATATAAGTTGTGAATATTTCAAAAATATGCTCAACTTAAATGAAGGTATTTAAGATATTATAATTTTTATCTTAGTTGTACAGCAAGCAGCTTAAGCTCTCGAGCCTTAAGTTTTTTTATTTTAATTTAAAATTGTTTGCAATCAAATCTGAATTAAAGTAAATAGGCTGGCATGTGCTTAGCGGTATTTTTTTTTTTTTAACTAAATTAGATAATTATGAAAGCATGCCAAAGTGTAATACGAGATTAAACACACTTAAGCACTCAAGGTATACCTTGCCTTGTACATATATATACCATACATATGTATATACGAGGTCTGTTACAAAGGAAAGGAAATTTGATTTCCTTTTTCTTTTTTTTTTTTTTTTTTTTGAAAATTATTGATTTATTCATCCATCAATATCCATTTTATACCATTCAAAGTAATTTCCCACATCTATAATGCACGCCTGCCAGCGCTTCTTCGAATCCTCGAAGCGCTCTTCGGCATTGCCATCAGCTGGTTCTTCGATTCTTACTTTTATTTCATCGATTGTGGCCTTGCTTTCATTGGGCTCTTCAGTTTTGGTATTAAATAAAGTTACAACGAGCCAAATTTGGTGAATACGTTGGGGATAAGGCATGATTACGGTATTGTTTCTGATCAAAAAATCACGAACAAGCATTGATGTGTGACAGCTCGTGCATTAACGTGATGCGGTGTCCATAATTGGTTTTTACACAATTCACATCGTTTGAGCCGTATTCACTCCCTGCAGGGGAAAGTAAATACTAGTTATCAACTAGTTTACTTTTTTACACCAACTAATTCATCTTTATCCGTTTTACATGTAAGCAGCTGGTATTTTTACCACCTTGATGTCCCATGAGCTGACAATTGTCCTACTATGCATCAGCTTCATACTAGTTTAATACTAGTTCATTTCGGCATGTTGAATTTCTACTTCACCAAACCAAAAAAAAATCAAATAAAATTCAGTTTGCCGGCTGCGAGTATCGAACCGAATGAAAAGGCACCACAATGAAGACTTCTAACCACCAGACTATCGTTATGATATATGGAAGACCGAAATCTGCGCACTTCAACAGATTTTTTTTAGGAAATGAAACTCAGCCGTGTCATACTAAAAGCAAAAACAACATACGAATGACGTGGAAGTGAAAATTAAAAATTTCTTTAAAAAAAAAAATTAAAATTAAAAAATTATGTTTCACCAAAAATTAAAAAAAAAAAAATTAAAAAATTTTGTTTCACCAAAAAAAAAAAAAAAAAATAAAATTAAAAAAAAAAATTAAAAAATTTTGTTTCACCAAAAATTAAAAAAAAAAATTAAAAAATTTGTTTCACCAAAAATTAAAAAAAAAAACTAAAATTTAAAAATTATGTTTCACCAAAAATTAATTTGCCTGTAGCAGGACGCGCACCGGCGGCTTAACGCACACGCAACGATAAACTCTAACCACTCGGCTATCACGACGATGCAACGTTCAATGTCATATCGCGCACTTCAATAGAACAGAGCAGAGAATGGAATTCAGCCGCGGTCTGCCGTTACAAAAACAATAAACAGTGGTGGAAATTGTTATTTCTGTCGAATAATAATAACGAACTGGTATGTTTTCATCTTCGACATACTAGTATTTAACTAGAATTTTTGTACATTAGTTGGTTTTCCCCCTGCAGGGCTGCTACACATTTCATGCTCAAAAAATTCGAAAAATTTTTTAAATAAATAAAAAATTAAGTTAAATTTTCTAATTGCGGTCGCCCCTCGGCAGACATGA